TTGAGAGAGAAATTCGGAACCTCAGACTGAAGTTGGAAATTCTGCAGAAGGAGAAGTCCATTGAGAAGGTTGTTTACAGAGAAGTGGTTCGAGTAGAGAATGACCCAGCAGTTGAAGCTGAGAGGGACCACCTCAGAGAGCTTGTAGCCCATGAGAGGAATCTTAGAAGAAATCAAGAAGACAGCCTCCAGAGCATAAACAGTCAAATAAACCATATAAAGACATCAAGGTCTGTGACTTCTCAGGAGGAGACAGCTCTCATTACTGGCAGGGACGCTCTGCAAAGAGAGAAGGAAGATCTCCTCAGACAGCTCAAGGCACTGGAGTCAGAAAGACAAACCACCAGCATTACCTTCCAACAACAGTCCAGGTTGATGAGCGAGAGGAATCAGATGGCACGCCAGAGAAGTCTTAAAACTTCCTCTGAGGTCCACCGGCTGGAGAAAGAGATCCTGAATGAGAAAGATAAAATACACCAGAGGGAGACCCTCATCGCTGAGCTCCAGAACGGCATAACATCAGAGGACCATTCAGAATCTCACACCAGAGAGACAAACCTCTCAACAAGGATCACCATCTTGGATCCAGACACCGGCAAAGACTTGTCTCCCTATGACGCCTACGTACAAGGAGTAATTGATAGAAACCACTACCTCCAACTGTCTCAACTGGAGTGCGATTGGGAGGAAGTCACGTCAACCACCCCAGATGGAGATATAACGGTTCTGCAAGATCGAAAAAGTGGGAGGCAATATTCTGTCAAGGATGCGCTGAAGGACGGCCGTCTGACTGAGTATGACGTGAGACGCTACAAGGAGGGTAAGATGTCTATCTCTGAGTTTGCCCTCCTTGTTACAGGAGAGAAGCCAACACCTTACATTCCTCCAGTAACATCAAAATCCCCAAGCAAGCATATCCCATCTTCCCCACTGAACTCCATGTCTTCGCCCCTGAAGTCTTCTTACAGCAGCCTGAACAATCTGCACAGTAGCAGCAGCAGCTTAAACAACCTCACTGCTACCATGGGGGATGAATATTTCCCAATCTCTGGCATATTTGACACCACGACTGAAAGCCGCATGTCTGTGAGAAGCGCGCTCACCCGAAAACTCATTGATCCAGATACCGCCTTCAGGCTGTTGGAGGCACAGGCAGCCTCGGGCGGGATTGTCGATCTGGGCAAAAAGGACAAATTCTCTGTCCACAAAGCAGTCGAGTACAACCTAATCGACCCAGGCCACAAGTATAAGCTACTGAACGCCCAGAAGGCCTTCACTGGAGTCGAGGACACTGTGACCAAAGAGCGTCTGGCAGTGGGTCAGGCAGCACAGAAAGGTTACATGCCCAAAGAGAACGCCAAGAGATACATGGAGGTCCAGTACCTCACCGGTGGATTGGTGGACCCCAATAAGGCGGGACGGCTAACCATCAAAAAGGCACTTGCAGAAAATCTGATTGACACCACGATGGCCAATGAGCTGAAAGACGAGGCTTTGCACTCCAAAGAGCTGGTCGACCCCATCACCAAGGAGAAGATCACGTACAAGCAGGCTATGGATCGCTGCAAGAGAGACGTAACCACTGGGCTCCTGCTGCTTCCTGTGACCTCAAACGCTACAAATGCTCCATCCTACTCCACGTACCGCTTTTAGCAGCGCAATTCACAGAGATGACAATTAGCTGCTGCTCGCGATGCTATTAGCAAACTGACAGGAGCAGAGAAAAAAAAATGCTTCATTGGAAGGAAAAAATAAACATGTATTTTGGTGGGAATATACTCGTGGATTGTTTCTCTGTAATAGTTTCGGTTTTCTGTGAAAATAAAGGTATTTTCAATCATGCCATTTGTCACATTGTGAGCTTTTTTTTTTGTCAAACCTTGTGAAATAAGCCTCGACTTGCATGTTACTATCAAACTCAACTGACTTGGATTCCATTTTTGTCCCTCATTTATGTAACCATTACCTTAAGTTGATATCAAAATGCTATAAATATCATATCTAATTGAAAAGAAATTTGACTTAGTAACTTAACGTCTTGAATCTGGGCATCTAACTCTTCAAGAAATTCTTGCTCTTTCTGAAACTCCACGTTCAGGATGTCCTCACAACATTGCTCCCCTATTAGGTATTTAGCAACCTTTTACCAGCGTCACACTGAGTAGTGAGTAGCTCGTAAATGCACAGTTCCCCCAGCTGTTTGCTGACTGCTGCTGGCTAGTCTGAAGGAGCCGAGAGAGGACTGCTCAGTTTGGCTTGGAAGCGGCAGTTCTGAAGGCGGAGCATTGTCCTGGAAGGCGGAGCTAGGCCCAACCAGGCGTTGTGCACAGCTGAGTGGTTGCCATGGGAGATTAAAGGATTTCTCAAACATGCATGAAAGAATCAAGGCAACACACCTTTTAGTTTTTGATTAGAGAATAACTTTATAATGCAAAGCTCAAAAAACTCCCTTTCACATAATGGTCTCCCATTAATATATAAACTGGTATTTGTTATTACATCGGTTATACGTTTTAATTTAATAATAAAATCAAAGTTATTTGAACAGTCCTTATTGGGAGATATTTAAGGCTGAGCCTGAAATGTCCATTAAATTTTCAGCGCTTAATGCCACATTCTGCACCTCTTCCAACATTGTTCACCTGGTTGCCATTATAAACAGCCTAAGCTCCAGGAAGCTGCGGGCGTCCCATCACAGTCTTGTTTTCGATATCAATATGAGGGCTCTTTCTTCCTTCCTTCCTTCCCTCCTTCCTTCCAGGAACGACTCGCTCCGTATGACAGTGACTCATCCTCTTCCTCCGGAGCTGCTGACCTCCAGGTGAAATTCCTGCACTTCATGTATGCGGCTTGTAAACTGAGGCGACTCACAGGGCTTGGAGTCACAGGATTAAGGGTACAGATTAAATGTGTCTCACGCATGCTAAGGACAAACTAATAAAGCGACGCTTTGGCAATTGCAGCGAAATTCGACCCACTGACCCTCGAGCTTCGCCTCAGCGTGTCTACGCGCATCTGCAAATGAGCGCTGCAAAAAGTACTTAACCTTAGTGAGGTCTGATACGCTTCGCTGTATCCTGATCATATTTGTTATTACTGGAGGAAGTGTGTAAAAGATTCCCATCTGACCCCTCAGAGAGGGTTCAGAGTGATAGTGGCTGGGCTGTCCGTCTGCCAGATTACCTGATGACTGCAAGGACTTTGTGGGATTATTACCTATGAGCCTGTCTGGAGGCTGAAGTGACCCCACACTGTGTACAGAGGGGGGGTGGAGGGTTAAAGGATAATAGTTGGTCATCTCCAGTGAAGCCAACACAGCTTGGCTTCACTGGAGCCAAGCTGTGTTCATATTTTGTAATATTTTCCTCTTTCTTTCCGTTGCCATTCATGAAACCAAAATGGCGACACTGAAGGTTTCTTGTTCTGATTGTCATGACAGATGCACAACGATGGCGGCAAAAAGCCTTCTGAAAGGCCTGGGGTGCGACGGCATCGCAGATGCACAAATTATTTCCTTTGACTGAACTCGAGCTTGACTGACGCACATAATAAACGACTGCTGCTTTTTGTGTTTTGGTTGATTATTGTTGTTTTGATTGAAACGCGGCGCTGACGACACAAAAAGGGAGCGTCTGTGTTTCGGTGGCCCTCAATTACAGCACAAAAGACGAAGCTGATGACTCCAGTAAAGATAATTACGCCAACACCATTTCTGCTATTAACAGTGGCATAATTCAGTAAAAAAAAAAAAACCTTCTGTAGATCGCCCTTGTTAAAATGCACAACAGAGTATTGTTTTCAATCCGTAAAGAGTATGATATCTAATGCGACTTAGCATCTTTGAACTAAAACTTTGTTAAAACTGGAGAAAAAAAGGGGCATGGAGTCAAAAATCAATGACGAAAAAAAGCTACATGTCCACTCCATTATTTTTCCCCGTTTCTACTTTTTGCACATGCCAAAAGGTTCCAGGACAATCAAACTGATTTTACCCGACAGAAACTAAGAGGTTGCAAATGCAAAACACAGCTTTAAAATTATTCCATTTATTGATGGTTAAAAAAAAAACACTCTTCAAACCAAGGAGAAAAGTAACCACACTCCGCATTAAACCATGAACGGTGATGAAACTGGTGGTGGTAGTTTTTGTAGGACTTTGTAGAAAGCAGTTTAATGCCACTGGCCACCTCATCCCTGTTTACTGTGACCTGTAGCCTCGCGACCTCCAGTGAACCACAGCGAGGCCGTCATCCACAAGTTACAGAAAAATACAGCCTGGCAAACCTTCCCAGGAAAGGTCAGTCGACCAAGAAAAAACCAAAAACAAACCCTGTTTGTCCTTCAGTGGAAACGGAGCTGCTCACCCGTCCGTGTTAGAACATTATGACCTGAGTGTGGGACTGTGTCACGGATTAAAGCGTGAAGCTCCACACAGAGACAGCTGAGGGCGACGCTGAACAGAAATCACTAGCAGCTTTTGACTTCATCGGTGAGGACACTTGTGAGATTTTATTTTGACCAAAAGAAAGCGGAATGTCTTTGACAATATAGAATTTATACATATAAATCTTTTTGTTCACGTTTGTGTAGCTGCGGCGGAAACAAAAGTCGGGGCGATCAAAACCTGCAGTGTACATGCAGGTTTATGTCAGGTCACCGCAGGCTAACGGATGAGTAGAACTAAATCCCCGGACGTTTACAACGGCTAAAGCCTCCATAGTAGAGCAGCAGGGGCTGGAGGAACTGAAGTTGCGAGGCTAAGGCCTGATGACTGACGTCAGCTCGTAGTGTGGGAAGCACTGGAAGGTGCTAATCAGGAAACGGCTTAGAGCCGCTTCACGTTACACCAGGTATAGACACAGCTTTGGTTCAAGTCAACACTTGGTTTATTGTGTACATAGTGAGATAATCCACACAGTTCTGGAGAATGGGATTCAGTGAAAAGCTTGAGAATAAATCAGAATATCACATGTGAATTGAACACGTGAAGACGACAGAGAATACTGATTCACTTTTCTTTATTTTAGATTCAAAACATTGTGTTCGAACAGCGTCAGCCTAAAGCAGAGCTGAATTTTGCAAGTAGGAATAACAGGCAGGTTTTTGGTTGAATAAAGGTGGGCAGATTGATACAAAAATATCAATGATTTTGAAACAGTCTGTATCAGTATCAGTGCCAGAATTGATATCTGTGATACTGGCCCAGTGTTTATCTGGTATCGGATACCAAAACCTATGTGATATTCTATGAATAACAAAAATATAAATAAATAGATAAATAGCACAACACGGGTCAGCTTATGTTCTTCTTTCTAAAATGCATTCTCTATTATTTTCCTGTTTGGCCAGAGGAGGCAGCCAAGAGCCCGGAAAGTTTTAGGGGCACCCAACTTTAGAAAAGTTTTATTGGGGCTTCCTCTAATTGAACCTTTTAAGTTTATTTAAATTGCGTAACCCTTCACGTTCGCCATCCCGTTCCACTGTGAGCCAGATTTGGTGCCATCCAAACATTCAAGGACATCCTAAAAGTCTTTCAGCGACCTTGCTCTGACTGAAAAGCTATTTGTTTTGAGTCTCGACAGTCTCTCAGCTTGGATGTAGTTCGAGTCTCTGCACAACATGCTGGTCGAACACAGGTTGGGTGTTGGGATCGTCGAGACTCAGGCAGCTTTAGTGAGAGCTGAAACAGCAGCAGGGCAAGACGTCAAGTAAAGCGCTCTGTTCTTTATTCTGTGTGAGGTCTGGTGCTGGGAAAGTGGACAGATCACAAAGATCCAAGAACTGATCACCCTGTCCATCTTTTCCCTCTTAGGATAAAGTTTAGTGTTAAACTTTAGAATTAGGTGATAAAATTATTTCCTACCTGGTTCTAAGAGGTTGATTTCTAAATAAATTCTGAGTCCTGAGGAATATGCAGAATCCTCAGTGACTTCCCTCAGTACAATGTACAGAGCTCTGTGTAAAAGAAAAGTACTGGTGCTTACTGATATAATCTAATGTAACTCAACTTTCTTACATATTGTTACAAGACAAGGAGTCGGCCCCCAAATAAAACTCTGCTCATGGCCTCACACAACCTTGGAACGGCTCTGTCCGAGTGCCTGATGTCAGCAAGAAAAAAACCACAACAACAACCAAAAGCAGAGTCATAAATCGACTTGCTCATCAGTCTTTGTCTGAGGAAGAGTCAGCGGATGCTGGGGGAATCGGATGGCCTCGCTGTTGCGGCGCATGTACGCGTGGCCGCTGATCGGGTACCACATCTCGGTGAAGGTGAGGTTGGCCACGGTGATGGCGCAGCGGCCCAGGACCTTGAAGCCCGACTTGCGGTAGAAGGGAATGAGGAAGTCCTCGCACATCAGCACGGCTCGGCGCACGTTGGGCAGGCAGCGCAGGTACTGCAGGTAGCGCCACATCAGAATGGGGCCTTTGCCCTGCTGCCTAAAGGTGCGGTGGACCGCCAAGATGTGGATGTGGACGGTGGAGCCACAGGGCTTGTGGAGGGTCAGCGCATCCTGGAGGAGGAAGGGACGAAAAGGGAAACATTTTTAGGTTGTCTTCACACCTGATTGAAATTTTCTGCTGGTGCGGTTTTGCTTTCACACTGCCCTGTGCCAAACAGTCCAAACTAATTGAAAAACCTGTTCCCCTCCTCGCCTGCAGTGGCACTGCACCAAGACTTCCGAAAGGAGATGACACAAAAACCTCAGAAGAAGACATCAGCCCAACTTCCTTCTTCATGAAATGTAACCAAAAGTGGAACCTTGTCAGATTTTAACGGCTGTAGGATTTATTTTTTGTCTTTAGAAAAAGACTACAAACCATTTTTCACCACTCGCGCTCGACTCTTGCATTTGTTTTTTCGGTTGTGTTTACCCAGAATGCCCTGCGCTATGGTCTGCTTCCTGCTTTTGTCTGCTTGCGTTCACATATCCATTAAACTGCGCCTTAGACTTTACTCTAAACTAGACCTGGGTATTTAGGCAGACTACAGTTTGCTGTTTCGGTCCGCATCAGACCAAAAAAAAAGCAAACAACAAGCAAATCAAACTTTGAAGACAAATGGACTAGAGTTCAGTTAAAGCAGACTAAAGCTAAAACTGCTCAGTTTTAGCTTTAGAGAAAGTTGACATTCTAGAATGAATCCCTTAACAAACCCCTCCTGCTAAAACTGCGAACAACACTCCAGTCGCCCCCTATGATTTAACCGCTCCGGGTGGTGAGCCATGTCATCATAAACCACAGCGGGCCGGAGACCTAAGAATGTCTTACTGAGGTGAGCCTGTCCTGGTCCCACAGAGATCCGATGATGAACGCCACCAGGCGGCCCTCTTCGAACCAGCCCATCGACAGCTCCGGACACAACGTGAGGAAATGACGCACCTCATCCAGGTGCAGCGGGCACTCCCCGGACACCGAGATGAAAGCTGGAAAAATCACCATCACGATTTAGCACGGATTTCAAAACCACACAGTTCATCATGCATAATATTTTAAAGGTGGTAATTTTATACAGTTCTACAAAATAAAGTTAGGACGCCAAAATTGATTTTATGCAACTATAGAGGACACAACCATTTCAATTTCTATCCTACGGAAGACCAAAAGTGCCAGAAATTAATGTATGAACAAAATGTTAAGTAATTAATAAACAATATTTTTAAGCATTGTGACTGTCGAAATACAACCATCAATTTTTTAAATTGATTTCTATTAGATTTTTACTTGATAAACAAAAAAAATAGATGCATTAAAAATAAGTATATTTCAATGTTTCAACAATTTAACTGCATACATAATTAATTGTATGCAAAAAATAATACATAAAACAATGTCATTCATTGCTAAAAGCACATGCGAGTACATATCTTCTTTAATTGCTTATTGAATTTGCAAATTTATTTACTCTATTAATTGAAGTCGGTGGGCGGGGATAACTGGTTTGGAAAAGGTAATTAGTCGACAGTTAACCAGTAAGATGTGAGTTTATTAAAAGCCAAAAAGACAGTTTGACTGATTTTATTAAATAATTTATAGAATAAATTATTTATATATATACATATATAGAGATTTTTTTAAAGGCTTCTATAATTTTACATATTTCAAAGATTTAGTATTCTTCATAAAATACCCACAATTCTTTAAGAAATTAATTAAGTCATTCATTTATGTTTTTTTTTGTTAGGTTTTATTACAAATAATCACAGGCAGAATAATGTAATTTCTAAAGTGTGAGTTTGTGGCCCACTCACCCTCCCTCTCGATCTCAAACACGCTGATGGCGTCCTGCGTGTTGAGCGGCCGCACCTCGCTGGCCGGCAGCGTGTGTCTCCGCTGGATGCCGGGCGAAACCGAAGGAGAAGTCTGCATTGGCTTGATGAAAGGCTGGGCGCCCACAACAGACATCATACGAGTCAGAGCTCCCTGTCCTCCAGAGGAATCAGAGCTTTTCTATCCTTTTTCTCTTTGTGTGTGTGTGTGGGTGTGTGTTACCAGTCTCCCCCAGTCCCCGCTGCAGCAGGGGGCCCTGTAAGGAGAAGTGAATGGTCAGCGTGGGTATTTATGGAGAAGCTCAGCCTGGATGATTCACAGGCTGATTTGCATTTGAATCTTTGCAGAATGAATGAAAGTCATAAATAAATACAAAAAAACAAACAAAAACAAAAAATTAAAAAAAATCAGAGCCCTGCAATTAATGGTGATTAGAGAGGGGACGATAATTACTTAATAACTGACTCCCGGCCTATTTATAACAGCTGTGGGATTGAAGTTTTAAACAGTTCTGCACTGCAATTAAAATATCTCGCAGGCAATAAACGCTTCTTTTTTCTTTTTTTTTTACACTGTATGTCAGATTTATTGCCTGCAAGCAGATTTATTGCCTGTTTGTGTTTATGCAAACAGAATATACACATAACTTCCCCACAAAGCAACACCGAGGCCCAAAGACACTTACCAGAGAGGAGAAAGGTGCCGAGGAATAGCAGAGGAGGTCGTGAAGAGGTCTGCTCCTGTGTCTCTCCTGTCTCCACAGACGTCTCTCTTCATTATGGGCTGATTATTACTATGAGTCACGTGATGGAGGATTACTGGAGTTGTTTCCATAACTCGGCAGCATTAGGCCCTTTATCTCCTCCCTGACGGAGCGCATAAAGCTCTGCAGGTGTCAAGAGAAAACACCTGCAGAAGTAGGTGATCAATAAGTTGTATTTTTGACTTATTGGCAAAATTAATTAATAAATAACAGTCATAGGATATATGGTGAAAAAATGAAGAATGAGGTTATTATGTATAATTATCATGAGAATTGATCAAAGTTTCATGTTTCCACCAACACTGTAAACTCAATAGACATCCCGTTATTTCCAAAAAAGCAATAAAAATCATACCATATTCAATACTATGTAACACTGGTCATTAACATTATCCAAACAATTATTAGTTACTTTGATTTGACTACTTAGACTCGAGGAAAATAGTGGAATAAACACATATTGGACGTATTGGCTGTCGTGTTCGTGTTTTTCTGTAGAGTTTCATTACGTGAACTTTGAACCATAGCAACAGCCTGACCGGAAACGAGCGGCTTAGGATATTTCATTTTTATTAAATATCTTTAGGCTGCTACACAGAAGCACCTCCTTAAACAAGACTGACTTGATGGTATTGTAGTTACCCCTTCTGGCTGCTAGAGGGCAGAACCTAGAATTTGCAAAGGATAATATGACTATCGAGACAGATATATAAACATATTTAGAGACTAGATTCTATGTTTGATATATAATGAGTATACAATATTTATTATCTCTTGAATAATAACATGTTTTTGAACACTAAATACAAACAAAAGCCTAAAGAATCCAAAATAACAGTCACGTTTTTACTTTTTCTTCGTTTTGGTGACGTCAGAGTCGCCTTTCCGCTCCTGCACGCAGCAGCAAACATGGCGGACGGCTAACACATTCGTTGTTTTAAAATAAGTCCTGGGTGGGGATTTTATCTTTAGGAGCACAAACAGCAACTCGTCCCGTGCTGAGTGTATCCGGAGGGCTGCCTAAACCTCGCCGCGGCCTGTATTTCTTTTCTAAAGAAAGGTAAAACAGGCGAAGCTTCCCGTGTTACTGCTGTTGATGCTAACGCGGGTTTAGCTTCAGGTGCATGCTAACACGACCACCTGCGAGTTCTGAGTTACTATAGAGTTTAAGTCCGTGAAGCTAATTGTTTTGAAAGTGTATGTGTTGTCTTGTCTCACCTGCACTGAGCCGTAGAGTCATGTAATGTTAACGTAAGAAGTAGTCTTGGCTAACCTGTTAGCCGACAGTGGCTAACTGCCACAAGACGTACAGCGATATTTTTCACTTTTATCAATGAGTCAAACTAAACAATAGTGCAGTGATTATTTTGCTTGGCGAAACTGTTGTTTTGTAATTCTTCATTGCATTCACACGATGTTAAATGCTATTAGCCACGACAAGAAGAGATGTTTTAATTTTCTAATAAATCCATATGTCCTTGAAACGCTCAACAATCTCGCATGAAAATTAAATTTGTTTCGCTGGCTAAAATTTCACTGTAATAGTTGCTTTATGAAAATAGCTAGAAGAGTGTTTTATATACACTAGTCAAGAACGAGTTATGTCAGAAATAACTACAACGATCTAATTTCCTTTGAAGTGTAAAATCACTTATAATTCCTACTGCAGCTACAATATTCAAAAATATTGAATGCTACATTTGTAATATGCCATTTATTGATTTTATTTTTCACTTTGCTGTGGTGCCACGAGTTGTTTATATAGCAATATTATATGTGCCTAGCCTTTGTTACATTTATTAAACACATGCTGTTAGTTGATGCAATTATGGACCAGAAATGGTGGGAATTCTTTGTTTGGAAACATTTAGCGATTGGAAAAAAAAATTATATTTTTTTATTTGGCATTTGACTTGCGGGTCGCAGCCAGTTGAGGAACAATTGGGTAATTCCCATTTGGCCTCTAAATCGCTTCACCTCAAGTCAAAAAGTCAAGCTTGTTGCAGCAGAAAATGTAAAAATAGCCTTCCGCCTCTGGTTGTTTGACGTTGTAAACTTAAAGCAAATGTTCTGGTTAAATCCTAAAACGTAGTTATCCAACTTTGTTCAGGGTTGGATAGAGAAGTACTTAAAAACATTAACGGATTGTTTGTCTAATTGGCCTTGGGTAAATTAAATCCTAACAAAACAAAATAATAAAAGTTTTTTAGGCTTATTCGACTTGCGGTATCAAAAATTCTCTGTTTCCTCGAAGCCCAAATGCTCACAAATCCATCAAATGAAGCAAAAACACCAGCTGCCAAGCCACAGATAGCTACACATGTTAAAAGCGCTTACATTTAAAAAAAAAAAAAGTTGCATTGTGAACTTTATGTAACATTTTTTGCAACTAAGGTGAAGGAGACGCACCGTAAAAATGGGGCGACGTTCCACTTCCTCCACCAAGAGTGGGAAGTTTATGAATCCCACCGACCAGGCTAGTAAGTATGAGCCTGTAAACAAAGCCACTGACCTGTTCAGCAACACCAGAACGACATTTTTCCGTACCAGTAAGTTAATGTGGGTGCATTAACTGTATATTTTCCCCCTGCTTTCCAGGAAAGGAGGCCAGAAAAAGGGAGTTAAAAAAGGTAAACGCACAACATTCGCTTAAATCTAGCAGTTGTTTTATTGAGACGCTGACATGGTGGATTCGTTTGACAGAACAAGAAGCAGAGGATGATGGTGAGAGCAGCTGTGCTGAAGATGAAAGATCCCAGACAAATCATCAGAGACATGGAAAAGCTGGATGAGATGGGTGAGAAGAGGGATTAAAAGTCAATATTGTTTGATATAGTTGAATCAATTTTTTCTAATGCCTCTTTATCTTTTTTTTTTTTTTTTAAGAGTTCAACCCCGTTCAGCAGCCCTTGCTGAACGAGAAGGTGCTGAGGGACAAGCGGAAGAAGTTACGGGAGACGTTTGAACGCATCGTCCATCTGTACGAGAGGGAGAACCCTGAAACCTACAAGGAGCTGCGCAAACTGGAGCTGGAGTACGAGACCAAGCGAGGGCAGCTGGCTCTTTACTTTGACTCGGTCAAGGTGTGACCCGACCCTTGTTCTCATTTCTGTCTGAAGTTTTCTCAACCTGATGGTTACGTTTTCCTAAAACAGCTTTTTGTGGTGTTTTTTTTTTTTTCTGTTCAATCCATTCCAGCTAATTTAAAGTCGACAATTATTCTGCCCCTGTATCCTGTGAGCTTCCTAACTTTAGATACGCATTGTTTTCCAGAACGCGGAGTCAGTGGAAGTGGACAGCATTCCTTTACCCGACATGCCTCACGCCCCATCCAACATTCACATCCAGGACATCCCGTTACCGAGGGCTCAGCCTCCGTCCATCCTCAAGAAGACCTCGGCGTTTGGGTGGGCTCCGTTTGTTAACGCTTTCTGCAGAGCATCATTGTGCTTCGTCAACGGGCAAAACAGAGATTCAGAGATTATGGAAATTCATTTCAGTCCATTTGTCATATCAATTAGTTGATATGATAAGTTCACTTTGAAACGGACAACATAACTGGAAATAAGGAAAGCTAGTGAACAAAAATCAGACTTGCATTGTAACTAGTCATATTCACTCGAGTAACTTATTGGAAAAACATGGAGGATAATTTTTACTTTCCCTTGAGTCATTTTATTATGAATTATCTCTATTCTTATTTCAGTAAAACTTCTGAGTAACTTCAGCGAATGAAGAACAAGCTTGTTTAAACCAAAAATTCACCTTGTTTTGGTTTTATACATTTTATATTTATATTTGGAAAAATTCTACTTCCCCAAACAGCAAAATTTATTGTTTTAATTTGGGTCCATAAAAATACCCAAATTTCCACATTGCACTTTGGTCCCTCTGATGACGTCATTTTCAAATATTAAATTATTGTGTGCACCAGTTATTCAGTGCTTGAATTGCAGTTTTACCAAATACTTTTTTACTCTTATTTGATAAAAGGTTTGGGTACTCTGTCTGACATCAGTACTCTAAACAAATCCAGTAAAATTTTCTCTTTAAAATATCTAGAATTTTGAAAAGAAAAGCTATCATTTAGCCAAACTATATAATCAGAGACCATATATCAAATGAACATCTATTTAAATAAAATGAGAGAAGAAAGAAAAATATTTCTAGAATTGATCAGGGATTCAAAATAAAAGCAAAGTGGAAAAAAAACATGCATTCCACATGGACAAAATAGAAAATGTACATTGATTTATTTTTCTAATGCATAATTATTGATATTTATAGTCCTTATTTCCATGATAAAGCCTATCCAAATAGGACCACTAGGGGGCAGCGTTACGCCAAGCCATCCTCCAGCCAGGTAGTGTTTAAGGTGACAGATAAAATTTGACGTGTCAGATGCTTTGCTTTTCTCCTTGCAGAACTTTCTGTCAAGATTTGTTAAACAAAGGAAGTCTTGTAAAGGAGTGGGAGCTTTTGGTAAAAAAGACAAAACCAAAACAATTATCGTAATTTCACTTAAAGTTGATTCTCCAAAGCCTGGACTCGGTGGTGCTGAATATAAATGCTCATCTCACGTTTTAGGTTTTTATTTGCAGGAAGGCGTCTTCATGATGCCACTAACTTTGCAGCAGCAGTCATTCTGTTTTCCCCCGAATGTTAAAGCAAACCGACGACCGGACCTGGATTGACGTCAATCCCCAGTGTCCCTCGTTTACCCCCTGGGAAGAAACCACCCGGACCCCCACCGGGGCCCCCGCCGCCGCAGGTTTTGGCGCTGTACGGCATCCCGTCTCGACAAATCTATGGCGCCGACACAGGTGACATTCAAACCGTTTTCTTGACTCACTAATCAAACTTAGTTTTTTGTCGCTGCATTTCATCTCTCCATTTGTTTTTTTTTTGTTGTTGTTGTTTTTCCCCCCCCCTCATCTGTTGGCGTAGACCCGTCCATCCCTGGGCTGGACTCTGCCGGGGACCTGGGGCGGGACCGGGACAGCGGCAGTGACAGCGACCGGGACGACGCGGACGATGACAGCGACTCGGAGGAGGACAGCGAGGAAGACGGAGACGAAGGCGCGGACGGCGACCGCGACGAGGACAGGAGCGAGAGACACACCGGTGAATAGCGCCGGAAACGTCCGGCACCTTGGAGGCTCTTCTCTCACTCATAAACTTACCGTGTGGACGTCCACCCCCTGCAGGTCGCAGCGTGCGTTTTGCAGATCTCGCAGCCGCCGAGTCCCGGGATGGAAAGAGGAAGAAGAAACGAGTGGTGAAGAAGACGAAGGCTATCACTCCCCTGCAGGCCATGATGTTAAGGATGGCAGGTACGCTCCATCACTGCATCGTTACTGATGGAGGAGCAGAAAAAAATCTGTTCTACAGAGAATCGCAATTCCTAGTCCTGGGAATTCTGAATAGGTTCAGAATGCTTAAAAATGCATTTCTTATTTTTGAAAAATTATATTTTGAATAATTGTTTATATTTTATTTCAGAAAAAGCCATGTAGCTAAGCCAACCCAGCTTAAGTTAATGTTTTATTCATAAATATATTTTTGTTTTAAAATAAACTGATGAAATTTGATGCAGTTTGTAACATTATAGAATTGGTTTCAATAAATGTTCTGTTTGTTTGTAAAATAAATAATAAATCTTGAAGTCACTCAGAGCACAAAGCATAACATTATACTGATTTGCCTTTATGAATTGGGCACATTGTCACAGATACTCAAATTTTTTTCAGTATGGTGACCGATGTGGACATGGCCCAGATTTTAATATTGAATCGGAGCATCTCTAATCGTTACTACATGTACTTATTTATTTTCTAACGTAAAAAAGTTCTGCATTCTGTTTCTTTCTTTATCTTCAGGTCAGTCCATTCCTGAGGAAGAGGAGGAAGAGGAAGTAGAGGAAGAATACACGGACGAGTCAGACGGCTCCGACACTGAGGACCGGGGCCCGCCAGGGGACCCCCAGTCCCATGTCATGCCCAACCAGCGCCTGCCCCCTCCTCCTGGGGCAGTGGCGCAGCAGGGACATCCCCCCATGCAGGGCCCACCAATGACCGGGCCCCCGCCTCTCGGACCTCCGCCGGCTCCTCCAATGAGACCCCCCGGTCCGCCCTCTGGCCCGCCCCCTGCGCCACCTCCAGGTTGGTTTGGTTCACCAGAAGAAGCTGGTTGTTGTTCAGTGTTCAGTGTATAACCCACAGGAAACGTTCTACCATTTCTAGGCGCCCCTCCGTTCTTGAGGCCTCCTGGGATGCCTGGAGGGATCCGGGGCCCAATGCCTCGTCTCCTGCCCCCTGGGCCACCACCCGGCCGACCGCCCGGCCCTCCTCCGGGCCCCCCGCCCATTCTCCCTCCAGGCCCTCCGCCGCGTGGACCACCTCCCAGACTACCACCCCCAGGACCACCAGGTACGGGCTATGTGGACATGTTCACCTCTTAAACTGTTTCACATCTTTCCATGGTACAGCAGAGAACTTCAGTGAGTTTTAGTTTGATTTTATGTGGTCGAGCAAGTACTTGGATAGTGGAAGGAAAAGAAACCCATTTTTCAATATTTCAACTTACAGAAAAAAATTGTACTCTGATGGTTGTGTATAAAAATTGTCTTCTATTAGTTGTTTTTGACAGTGAGCCATGGTAACTCTGGAGGAGCTGCAGAGATTCACAGATTAGCTGTGTTATTCTGTAAACGAGTCTTAAAGCTGCAGTATTCAGCCTTTGTAAAAAGTTTTATTTGTTAAAATTGTCACATTTTCCCTTCTTACTTAGTCTCGTTTCATACATAATTTGTGAAAAGATCAAGCTCCTTCGCTTCCTCCCAAAAACAGCCAATTAGCCAGGAGGCGGGTCTTAGTACTGCCAGTCAATTCTTAAACTTCATTAATAGGAATTTATTATGACAACTATAAATCTAAAGTCTTATAACCAATTTTTTTTTTATGACAAATGCCCACACCAACTGGCAAATATCACAATAAAACTTTTAAAGCTTGCCTAGCGTGAATACTTTTACACGACACTTTGACTTGCACACGTTTTCTGTACTTTTCTGTTTGTTTTTATTAAATTTTCATATTTTGTGTGTCTCTCCGCTTAGGTATCCCCCCTCCTCCTCCAAGAGCCGGAGGCCCCCCTCGCCCCATGGCGCCGCCCCTCTCCATGTTTCCTCCGCCTCTCAACTCCAACGTGCTCAGCGCCCCTCCCAACATCGTGCCGAGGCAGAAGGCCCCCGGCTCCGGCCAGGACGGCCAACAGAGCAGCATGCCGCCGCCGGCCATGCCCATGCGGCCTGGCGTCATGCAGATGCCGCCTCCGCCCGGCACGGCCGGCAGCCACCACCACACGGCCACCATCGAGAAAAGAGCCAACATCACCTCGGCGGCGGCCGGAGGCGCGGCGGGCGCCACCATCTCGGCCAAGCCTCAAATCATCAACCCCAAGGCGGAGGTCACCCGCTTCGTGCCGACGGCGCTGCGGGTGCGTAGGGACACGAGCGGGCCGATGCGGGGGCCTTCGACAGGGCACCTGGAGAAAGCGGGCGGGGTTGCGGCAGGACGGAGGGGAGACGACGGGATGGGAGGACAGTGGCAGAAACAGCAGGTGGCTGCTCCTATGGGGTTGGCCAACCCGTCGCAAATGGGTTCTGTTCCTCAGCCCAGCATGAAGACTAAAGACCAGGTTTATGAAGCATTCATGAGAGAAATGGAGGGACTTCTGTAAGAGTCTACAAACTACAGAAAAGCTTTTTTTTTTTCCATTTGCTGTGCAGAGTTGTAGTTGTACATTCAGTAATATAATTTCTGTCATGGAAAGAAAAAAAAACAACAATTTGGGCTACAACTTTAGCATAATAAATTTGATCCTAAGCGTGTATTAAAACATTTCCATTGGCGGTTAACTGAACACTATGCTCTGCACGGCATTGTTTTGTCTGTTTTTACTTTTTAAGTCTGAAAATGTGCTTTTTTTTCCAGCGTTATTTGACCTCAGTGATGCAACTTTGTGTAATTGACTAGTTTTTTGTTTTGTGCGGCCAATCGTCTAAACATGAGTTGTGAAGCGGTTTGTCCTGCAGCCAAATAAAAATCGGCTCAAACATGTTTTGTCGTCATGTTGCTGCTGAGGAAGACAGAAGCAACGACTGGATGAAACTTCCTAAACTAAATCATTTTTTGTCGTTATTAAAAGTGTAAAAAAAAAATTAAAAAAAAAATCAAAGCTTCCTGATGTGGGAAATGAAGTCGACAGAAAAACTCCACTTCCCGTCATGCTTTGCGTCCGCGTTTCCGCAGCTGCGCAGTTCAGAAAGGAAGACACGTTGAGACGGGGAAGCATGGAGGACCGGAGTCCGGAGCAAAACACCGGTGTAAGACCGGAGGAGTCTGGCGGCGACGACGATGAAGAAGAACGGGTTAACACTGGAGAAAGTGAGGAGGCGGTGAAAACCTTCAAGGACCTGGTAGGTTTGTTTCCCCGGAGTCGATAAAAGAAGACACGTTAGCAACAAAGCTAACGTCCCCATTTCGCATTAGCCAAGCGAAGCTAACGCGTTTTGTAAACACAATTTCCTCTAATGAGATGTCCTTACTCTTAGTGTCAGTGTCTGAAATATGTCCAACAGCGTTAAAAGCGCCATGTTTTAGAACTGCTTTTCCCTCTGCAGGGTGTTACCGAGGTGCTATGTGAAGCTTGTGATCAGCTGGGATGGAAGAGTCCAACCAAGATCCAGGTGGAAGCGATTCCAGTAGCTCTGCAAGGTTTGACACCAAGTCGCTTTTCTCTTTCTCTCGGTGCCAAATAGTTTGCAATGCGTAAAGTCAGGCGTACAGGACATAATGGAGAAATGGCAACGATGTAGCTCCACTGCAACCTAACTTCCGCTCTGCTGATAGTATGTTGTTTTTGAAATTCAAATAGTTGGAAAATAAAGTAATCACAGCGATAAATAATACTGTAGTATAATGGTAGTGACATAATATTGCTAAAGATCAATAAACTTTAAATTCTAGTGAACATTTAACACTGGAACAGGAAGACACTTCAGAAAAAAAATTCCAAAATAAATAAACAAACAACAAATTAAATTAATTAAAAAGTCTCTCTGTGCTGTGCTTAAAAAAAAAAAGGCTAGTTGAGGCCAAAGCACCAGACCGAATACTTTTGAGATCCATTTTTTGATAAAGAAACGAGAAAAAAGGTGAAATTATGCATATGGAAATTGTTGGGCTCTTTTTAATTTACAATGCGATTAATTATTGCGACATAACTGATCATAAGCGTTGAACTTGTTCCTATTTTGTCACTTAATTGGATTATTGTTGATGCACTGCCTGACTACACAAAATAGTGCATATTTGCAAGTTTTTCAAGCTTTCTTTCTTCCAGAAATACAAATCTGCAAAGTGTGGTGTGCGTTTAAATTCAGCACTCCCAGTAAATATTTTGTAGAACCACCTTTAATTTACAGACTTGCAGTTTTTTGGGGGGACCACACTGTTTTTCTACTTTAGCCCATTCCTTTAGGCTCAAAGTGGATGGAGAGCATCCGCGAACTGTTTTTTAATCTTTTGCCACAGGCTCAAATGGATTTTGATCTGGACTTTGACCGGGCCGTTCTGACACAGAAACATGCTTTGCTTTAAACCCCTCTTTCCACTGTTGATACTCTCAAGTCGAAATGTGAAATCCAGCAGCCAGCAAAGTTGTGTTGATCCTCCTGAAACCGCAGGCAGAGACGTCATCGGCCTGGCAGAGACGGGTTCGGGTAAGACCGGCGCGTTCGCTCTGCCGATCCTCCAGTCGCTGCTGGCTTCGCCTCAGCGGCTCCACACCCTGGTCCTCACCCCCACCAGAGAGCTGGCCTTCCAGATCTCCGAGCAGTTCGAGGCTTTGGGCTCCAGTATCGGGGTCAAATGTGGTACGTTTCCAGGAAACATTACCCGGTTTGTTGTTGGGGATGGAAACACTTTTTAGAATATTATTAATGTTTTTGACTCATCTCACATCTGTTGCAGCTGTGATTGTTGGAGGAATCGACATGATGTCCCAGTCGTTGGTGTTGGCAAAAAAGCCACATATTGTTATTGGTAAGAGAATAGTTATTAGGGATGCAAGTTATCGACGTAATGAGTTAATCTAAGGTTGATGGATCTTATCAATTGACTAATGATCAACTGAGGTCATATCATCGTTTCATAACAAATTTTTCTCATGCTGAGTTAAAAAAAAAACATGAAAACGAAAACGCATCATTATCTTTAAGCATTTTTCTTGTGCGTGTCAGCTGTGTTATAACTTGACTGAATAAACAGAAAATTTATTCAGTCAAGACTCAGAATCAACCATGTTTATTAACAATATGTGTTTTTTTTCATGCTGCTTATCTTCAGTTTTGTAGCAAATCAGTAAACTTTGTTGATAAGTTGATGATCAAGCTGGTGATTCAAGAACGTTGATGGTTCGTAACAGAACCGCTTGAAGTGTATTTTTAATCTCGGTTTGGACCGTTTTTCTTGTCTGTTCTGACACGCCTCCGCCATCTTCAATTCTGTATCATCACCCAGCGGCGCCCTCTGCTGGAAGGCGGTGAAACTACAACACTGAAAGAAGTACTAAACTGGCTGTAATAGTTAATTTAATGGAACAAATTTTAATCTATTAAACTACGAATGCACAATTAATAGTTGGTCGATTAATTGTTTTGCGACCCTACTTCTGATGTTTTTGGGGTTTTTTGCAGACATGTTATCAAAAAGTATGTTAACTGTCAAGAAAAGAATAAACCATATATGTGTGATAATTAACAATTAAATATATCAATTTTTGTTTTTTTTTTAAGCCACTCCGGGTCGGTTGATCGACCACATGGAGAACACAAAGGGCTTCTCCCTGCGAGCTCTAAAGTTCCTGGTCATGGACGAAGCAGACCGGATTCTCAATATGGACTTTGAGACTGAGGTGGGTCCTGACAGGACAGACTAGAATTCACTCTCCTTTAACCTGCTCACATTTTTAACGTTCTTCAAACAAACTTAAATGAAATAAAAGGAAAAAAATCCTTGATAAGTGCGTCGACGTCACTTCGGCTCATTTTCGCACAGAATCTGTTCACCTATGATGCCCGTGTTTGAGTTTTGTTTTTGTTTTTCCAGGTGGACAAGATCCTGAAAGTCATTCCGAGAGACAGACGCACCTTCTTGTTCTCAGCCACCATGACCAAAAAGGTAGCTGCACACTCGTCTGGGTTTTTCTATCAACTCCCCGTGTTGTGATGCTCGTCCGTCCAGCTCAGATGTTGCGTTACGTTGACTTACAGGTCCAGAAGCTCCAAAGAGCAGCTCTGAAGGACCCTGTGAAGTGCGCCGTATCCACAAAGTACTCCACAGTAGACAAGCTGCAGCAGTACTACGTCTTTATTCCATCCAAGTATAAGGCAGGAAGTCATTTGATCTGATCTTGAGCGGGCTTCCTTTGTTTTCTTTTCCTGTCAGCGCGTTTTAAATTGGCTGTTGCGTTGCAGGACTGTTACCTCGTGTCCATCCTGAACGAGCTGGCCGGGAACTCCTTCATGATTTTCTGTAGCACGTGTAACAACGCCCAGCGGGTGGCGCTCTTGTTGAGAAACCTGGGCATCACCGCGATCCCTCTTCATGGACAGATGAGTCAGGTAGGGCTCGTTTTATCCTTTAAATTGCTAAGCTGAAAAAAGATAAAATGTCAGACTGAAACCAAACGACCGCTCCGTTTTGGTCAGAATAAACGTCTCGGCGCGCTCAACAAGTTCAAATCCAAGTCGCGCTCCGTTCTCCTGGCAACGGATGTGGCGTCCAGAGGCCTGGACATCCCGCACGTCGACTGCGTCATCAACTACGACATCCCTACACATTCAAAGGTAGGACAGGGCTTCATGCTGTCGCCAATATTTGACTAATTTCTCTGATGAAATGGCGACGGTGAACCTGTCTGTTCTCCCAGGACTACATCCACAGAGTGGGGCGAACAGCCAGAGCGGGGCGGTCTGGAAAATCCATCACTTTCGTCACACAGTAATACAAAGATTTCATTTTAGAATTTTAACGGTGCATTCAAATTGTGACCTTTTTAAAGATTATTATTGTTTAGCAAAATATTTACCTTGCCATCTCTGATTCTGAAGGTATGATGTGGAGCTTTTCCAGCGGATCGAAAGTTTGATCGGGAAGAAACTGCCGGCGTTTCCCACACACGAGGAGGAAGTGATGATGCTGGTGGAGAGAGTGAGCGAGGCTCAGAGATTTGCCCGGCTGGTAAGTCGCCTTTGGATGATGCTTGACATCCTCTGTTGTGGTTTGGCTATCAATAACTATAAATACTTGTAATTGTTAGCAAGCAAATGTGAACAATTAAAACGGAAGAGGAAATAACATTGATTAGCAAACCAGAGGTTTGCTAATCCTGGGTGCTAATGTGGAGAAAAGCTGTGTCTGGGAATGCTGGGGCTAGCTTTAGCCTCAGTAGCATCTGCCTTTTATCATTAGCTTAGCATTGCGCAAGGATTACGGACTATTTTATCTAGCTTGGAGAGAAGAGAGGAAAGGAGAAGGGACTAAGGTTACTTGATTAAAATGTCTTCTTATCAGTCAATAATCGCATTAAACTGTTTTACGGCGTTTTAAAACCCAAACAGTTTGAAGGTATAAAATCCTCCAAAACCAATGACAGTGAAATTGACAGTGAAATCCAATCTTTTATTGTGTATGCTAACTTTTCATTTCAAGGCTTACTTGAACAATTCCAGAAAACATCAAATTTTATGTGTATATATATATATTTTTTTATTATTATTTTTTTTATTTTTTATTTTTTATGGTGCACCTTTTTAATTGGTGACTTAAAAAAAAGGATATAAATTGACCAATATTTTATCAAGCAGCAAATAATAATAATAAAAAAAAGATTCTTTCCTCGCAGCTCTCTTTTAATAACTGCTTTTCAGCAAATAGGTGGAGGCAACATCCTGGGTACTTGTGGTTGTTGGATGGTTTTAAAGATGATGATTCTAACCAGAAATAAACTTCCAGTGGGGGAAAAAAAAAATCCAAACTGTGGTGAACCCCAGGAAGAACAAAAGAAAGAAAACTCATCATCAGGAATCACTTTAATCTCTGGCTCTGTCTGGGAATCAGGTTTTATGTATTTGGAGATTTTTGTCAGACAAGTTATCTGCACGGAAATCCTGAATTACGTCACACACTCAAGAACTGAGGCGTAGTAATAAACAAAAAAACAACAGATTTCTGTTTTCTTGAGTTTCCTATCACTTTAAGACGGCACTCCTGCGTGATTGGTGATGAGCGAAAACAACGTAACCAAAACGATGGCTACTCTCGTTCAGGAAATGAAGGAGCAGGGAGAGAAACGGAAGAGGCCCAAAGGTGGAGACGGAGACGAGGACGACACGGAACAGGCGAGCGGCGTGAGGAAGAAAGTCAAAGGAGGGCCGGGTGGAGGGAAGAAGAGGGGCGGAGCAGCCTGGAGAGGAGGACGCTGAAGCAGGAAACCAAACCGTAAAATGTACATAACCACAACACAAAAGGCCTCGCCGGTCTCTGATGTAAACTTTACTATCATGACGGCTTCCTTTCCACACTTTGCTTTGTGAGACCACGACTATTTAATGACGCAATAAGCGCTCTCTTTTGTCCATGTGAGAATTTTGTTTTTTGTTTTTTTCCATTTGTAATAAAACTTTGCTGTAAAATCTCAAGCGTTCTCATTGGTGTCATGTTGGGCTTCACATGTAGCTGGAGGAGCGACTGGGATTTAAACCTCTAAGGGAGAAAAGCCTCACGGTTATTAATAGTTTAACTTTCTTTTTTCTGAAAAACGTATAATGATGCGTAGTAATTATCAAAATATATCTCCACAACAGCATAGTAGAGCTTCTGTGAAATGGATGTTTCCAGGGAGGCACTCATCCACTTTTCCTTACTTCCGATACGATATCTGAGATTAGGAATCGGCCAGTACCGATCCGATAAAGATAGCCGACATCTGTTAATTATTGTAGGTCTTCTAAATATAAGATAAAAACACTAGCTTCTGTTCCTCCTGAGCTGTATCAACAACAATAACTATCTAGTGATGCAGTTGGAATTTTGAAAATAAATTTTCTTCATGGAAACATGCTAAATTTGAAAATAACAAAACAACCCATCCCCTTTTGATAAAACTTTGGCCTTAGGATGGGGTGTTTGTTTTTGGCTTTTTTAATTGATTTTTTAAAAAAAATCTGTCAAAATTGGTTTATTTCGCAAAACTGAAATGAAAAGTGTTTCCCTGATCAACAAATGAATGTCATCAGCACAAACAGGAAGTTGGAGGATCATGGCTAGCTATGTTTTTTTTTTTTTTTACAAAATTGTTTATTTTGTGAACAAACTTGTATTTGATTTTAAGATTGTTTTATTTAAAGTAAAGCTACAATTTTAGAAATGTTTTTTTTTCTTTTCTTTCCACATCATTTAAATATTTCACACCTTCATCCTTTCACCCACTTGTCCGTCCATCAACACCCATCTGAAAAAGTACAGATTTAACACTACAAATGCATAAAAATCCTGATAACTGCAACTCAAAATCATATCCAGAGTTTATTCTGAAACATAGATAATATGGTTTCTCATACGGGGGACACTTGCTTGGGGCGCCAGCCGCACTTGATCCGCCTCAGGAGCAAAACAAACAAAACAGTTTTTATACATTTATTGCATTTATTCCCACCAAATCAAGGAATTTGTGGTTTAGCAGCCAATAGTAGAGGGAGAGAGAGAAACACCGCAAGCTGAAACCCAATTGTTTCTTGGCTGCATCCAGTGGGCGTGCGCGGTACCTAGATATTTTTGTGATAGATTTTAAAGGGACACAGAAGTGTGCCGACAAAAAAAAAAGTTACATTTTGTCCATATTTAAGAATGTTTTGAAAACGACTTTGTCTTAAAGTTTTCCCATGATTCCTCGTTCCGGACAAAGCTTCCCTCCGTGTCGGCGCGTCGGTCTGGGTGATGTGGATCTAGGTGCGCTCGGGTCCATCGTAGGCGGGAGCAGCGGCGGTGGTCAAGTCTGCTCGGGTTCGGAGGGAGGAGGAGGAGGAGGAGGAAGAGGAGAGGGGGGGCTCCCACTTCAGAGGCATCGCTCTGAGCCCGTGCTGCGCACTCACGAGCCAAAAATACATGCCTGCATCTCGGCGGTGTGGAGCTGTTCGCTGCTGCCGCCGCATTCGAGGGGGACGCCGAGCCGACCGCTGATTCGCTGACGAGCACCAGGTAAGTTGTCCGCGCGGCGCGCGGGGCAGGTTGAGGGGATGACGGAGCGCGCGGGGGAGCAGACGGACCATCACGACCAGCCGGGTCCCCAGCAGAGAGAGGAGCTGCTTCCAGAAACTTCATTGTTAACTGCGCGCGTGAGTTGAGAGCGGCTCCGGGTGAAACGCGGGCCCCGCTTTGAATTGTTAACGAGGTAACATTGACAACAATGTGACGGCGCTTCACCTTTCTCTCTCGGCTATTGACAGAGCAGCTTCACAAAAATGTCCGAATAGTTCACTTTTAAAAACACATTTTATCCACCGTGTGATGGCACATTTCTGTACCCCGTCCTGCTTCAGCTGGTTATGGCTGTGGCGCAGGTTTTTTTTTTTGAACTGCAGATAGATATTGATCCAATGCATGCGAGCAGCAACTTTTATTAGCCGAATGACGGCATTACGGGCCGAGGGGGGTAATTTACAACGTAGTGAAGTCCTCATACAGGAGGAGGAGGAGGAGAGGGGTTGGGTACGTGTGCCATTCACGACGCCACCGCTTCCCGTATGATCTAATGCGTAAGTAAGCGCGGAGACCTACGCAGTATGCGCATTACTGCTGGGCAGCACGATCCACTAACAAGCCTCAGCCTCGGACCGAAACTTGAAAAATAAGAAAGTTTGTGCTCGTTCATCTGGATTATTTTTTATTGTCTTTTGACTAATCTGCATCCCTTTGCTTCTTTCTCTGAATCTTGGTGGCATTACATCAGGGAGAAGGACAGGGCTGCTCACAAAAAGGGTGTTTTGAGGCCTAATCTGCCAATTCAGATCAGGATCTCGAGTAGTTCGAGGGCAGAAGTCCATCAACATGCAGAGCAAAACTGTTCTGGGTCTGCTAAGAGACCAACGTGAAGAAACAGATTAGAGATGCACCGATCAGAGATTTTGTGCTGCGCTGCCGATACCGATTTTTTTGTTGGTTGGTTCTTCTTTTGCCTTAGGAAATGTAAATAACAATAAAAAAATAATTCAGCACCTGGCTAATATGTTATTAAACAGTGTTGACAATAACATTAGATTTAAAAAATGATATTACTTTCTCAGACAATAATCCAAAGTTACTCCAGAGTTGACTCTTTCTGCGAAATCTATAAATGAAGTAAAATCCTGCAGCGTATAAAGGAGAGTTATCAATTAATAAAATTAAAGAACTACCAAATATCTCCTTTTACTATTTTACCTGTGCGATTACAGTGTTTCTTTTTTGCATGCACCATATTGCAATATATTTTGTATGTTTTCATTTCAATCATTTCAAAATAAATACTCATTGGTGTCGGAGTTAATATTTGAGATGATAAACGTTCAGATTTGTTCTTATGTGTCGGATTGTCATTTATTTTAGAACCAGAGGGCAGATTACATTCTGTGTGTGTTTCCTGTAGACCACGATAAAACAAAACATCGTAGGAACTCAAACGAGATGAAAAAAGAAGCGATCGGTCCCACAGCATCATAGATCTTTCACCATGGCTTACAATGCGAATGAAGTGCGTTTCCACATATCCATCTCATCACGAGCCAGACCCTCTCAAAATGTCAGTAGAGTTTATCAGAAATATTTACATTTACATGCGTGATGGCAGGAAAGAAAGTTAGCATGTAGAAAGAACTTTATAGAGTCTTTGTGACATAAGATGCTGTCTGCAAATAGTTTATTTTAAATCGTTTCACACCAATAATTGTGAATGGTAAAAATAAAGGGAAGGTTTATTTCACCTCTCGCCCCTCTGCCCTGTGCAGGTGTCTACATCGCACTGGTAAAACCCAGGGAAGATGTCTCATCGAAGTGGGCAAGAGGACCCGGAGCGGTACCTGTTTGTGGATCGGGCCGTCGTGTACAACCCGGCCACGCAGGCCGACTGGACGGCCAAGAAGCTGGTGTGGATCCCCTCGGAGCGCAACGGCTTTGAGGCGGCCAGTATCCGGGAGGAGCGGGGAGAGGAGGTGCTGGTGGAGCTGGCAGAGAACGGAAAGAAGGTGGTGATCAACAAGGACGACATCCAGAAGATGAACCCGCCCAAGTTCAGCAAGGTGGAGGACATGGCGGAGCTCACCTGCCTGAATGAGGCGTCAGTGCTGCACAACCTGAAGGACCGCTACTACTCTGGGCTGATATATGTGAGTGTTCAGGCCTGAAGCTTTCTGCAAATTGTGATTTTCAGAAGGCTCTCCATAGATTATCTATGTTAATAGGTAACAATCCAGTTATTGTTGTGTGGAATTTGATAATTTTTGACCATCTGTGTTTTGGTTTCTTGTTCATTTGGAAAACTGTGTTTGTAAAAGTAGTTTTTTGTTTCTTCCGGTCACCTTCCTTCTATAAATACGTTGCAGCGCACGGAAGATCCTGCCCCAAGCAGAAAAACCACTTGCCAACAATAACTACTTTACTTTCAAATTGTCAATGCGCTAAATCTTAAATACTGGTGGAATGTATATATTCTGGATTCATGACCTTGGAAAAGTATTCAAAAGCTTTAAACTCGTCACCACAAATCACATTTATATTCCACCTCCTTCTCTCTTACCTAAATAAAAACAATGTGTTTTCATGTGTTTAGCATAATTTCTATCATACTAAGATAGAAATTTGAGCAACTCTGGATTGAAATGTTCTGATTTTAACACGGGTTTGTCCCCATGATCTAATTCCAGTGGAGCTGAATTTCCACTGTGATGTTGACCCATTTAGTGGCTCGTTTTCCACGAATAGAATGTGGGCTATCACCTCCGAGACTCCGACTCGGCCAAAGCAAGGCGGACTTATCAGTTGTCGTTGTGCGAGATAAAACATCACCGCTGATTCCCTACAGAAGCCAGCAGCTATTTGGATGCTTTTATGCCGAGTTGTAAGAAAAAAAACATCAAAATAGTCAAGAATGGTTTAGATTTGGTCTCATTCCAGCAGTTCACTGTGCTCCTCTTCTGCTCCCCTGTAAACCACAGTGTCATGGTTTCTGGGTTTCCTGGTTTAAATTGGTTTTGGAGCTTGCTAATTGTCCCTTTCCCTAAGAAAAATTGAAAGCATGTGTTTGGCTGCGTTGGTTTTCTAACAGGAAGAGCCCCCTCCGCCCCCTTTCAGCTCAGTCGTAGAAAACAATCTCCCTACATTATTAACCTTCCCCACAGCCCCTTCTAACACCTCTGTAGACATAATATTACGCCCCCCGCAGGCTGTGCTGTTTCTCAAGGTTATTGGAGAGACTTATTTTTCTGAGTCTCTCCACTACGTCGATGGTTTACTTTGCTGATATTTATTTTCTTTTCTGCTTATCACTTAAGAAAAAGCCCAGCTGTGATCTGAAGCGACAGCCTGTCTGTTGCATTTGGTCAGACGCTTTTCTGAGACATTAACAAATATGAAATCCTGCTTGATTTCCTGTCAGACTCACCATGTGGACGAATGTTTGATATTATCACAGAATTATAACCTTGACATTTTCTTGGCATTGTCCTGTTTGCAAAGAAAAAAAAATCTTAACCAAATTGTCCAAAATAAGAAATATTTTTGGTTAATGTGTCAAACCAAAAACATTTTTTCCTTACAATGGCTTTTCTTTGAAAACAAAAAGCAACAATCACGTTCTCAGCTGCTAAAGACCACAAGCCATCACAGTTATTGATAAGACTATCAAAATCAGCGTCGTCGTTCACAACTTCTCATTGCGTTTGCCGATTGGCCCGGTTGAAAATCTACCAGAAAGAATCCAAGTGAATGGGAGAAATCCCAGACGGAGCTGTGAAGTGAGATTAGAATTGAGCCGAATTGCTTAGGGAGCTGATAGCCAGGTTATGTTACTGGTAACCAGGCCATATCTGCTTCTAAACATTCACATTTATCTTTCTTGTAAAAGAGGGACAATTGTAGTGGCTATCAGAGAGTTTCAGCCGCTTCATTCAAGTCCATCTGACACCTTTGCTTGTTTTATATGAAAATGACTTTAAACTTTTGGAACATTGTGACAGGTTATTTTCAAATCATATGAATATCTTGATAGCCACCCTGTGGCTACCACCCACAGCACCTTTTTAAAAAAATATTTTTTAGCTCATAGCTGCTAGCCTTATCATTTCTCTGCCCTCTGCTGCCTCTGGGCCTTTTTTGTAGATGTGAAGTCAGTCAGCTTGTTGGGCCAGGTGCTTCATTGTTACAGCTTTCTAACTATGAGGCGGTGAGTCACAGGTCTCTGGAGAGCTACATGCTGGCTAGCCGCACTCAACCCGCGCTACAAGAAGGCCTTTGTGTAGTTAGATAAGCCTCATCTGTCAGAAAGCCTCAGCATTTCTCCATGGCAATAAGGCTGTCTGTCTATCTGCTTCCTGACGCCCACAGCAACCCGAATGTGGCTCAGTCTCTCGCCTCCCTCCATCAGCTCTATTGCCAGTCCAACGCCTTCTGCTTATCCAGGGTTTCTGACTCACTGGTCTGACGAAAACATTATTAACGCACACGACTGCGTGTGCCTCCACCTTTGCTTGCCATGGCTTTTTATTGATTTCTCAGTGTGCGGCAAACAAACGGCCCTCACTGGACGGGTGGAAGGACGGAAACCTTTTAACACCGAGCATGAAACTTTTTAAGGAGTTAATTCAACGTCCAGCTTCTAAATGTAAAGAAGAGATGTGAAGGTGGATCAATAGTTTATTTTCAGAGTACCAAAATAAAATTGCAGTTTGTGATGTTTTATTGACTTGCAAAAATGAGAATACTTCTTAAGCTTTGCCACAGTTTGTCATGTTGCAGCCGCTTGCTCCTTCCATGTGTTTAATTGGGATTAATTATGATTCACTGAAATGAAGTAGTAGGTAATGGTGAAATTATGGCTGCCTTTCTTTCCTTCTACACGTGAAACTGATCTTATTTAAGTCCACAAAGGTCTGAAAATCAGCCACTGTCCACTTCAGCTCTGCCGTGAGCGAGAAGTTAACAATAGTCACCTCACTGTTTCCAATTTGGCAACTTTGTTGCTATATTTAGCCACTTTTCAGACAAACGCTAAAAGTATCAGGCGAAATCGGATTCGGTGGATCAGGATTTGAAAAAAATTAGTGATGGGTTTGAAATCTGTAATCAATGCACAGCTGAATATAACAGAAGAGAGCAAATGATCTATCTTCGTTTGAATAAAATTTTGAAAACCATTGTGTCTGTCTGTCACATGAAAATCACTCAAACATTTTAAAAATCAATAAAATACTTAAAAGATGGCTTCTTTTTTTTTAAAAAAAAAGGAAACATTTAAGGAGTAAGAATACTCCTGCAGGGCGGTCACTCCCACATCTAAACAAAAACATCTTGCTGTGAAGTACATTTGAAAAACTTAATGAAACCGTCCCGATTTCCTCTAAAATCGTCTGACATCCTGCAGCTCAGTTGTTGTGGTTGTGTTTTGAGCTGTGAGTGTCTGAACACTTTGTTAGCTTTGTCATGAAACCGCCGAAGCGTAGCTTCCAGGGAACGGTCAAAGTCTTGTGTGCTCCCAGCAGACCGTCGGCTCCCTGTCCTCCTTGTGGGGAGTGTCCCTTTAACGCTGGCATGCCGACCGTGTGATCACGGGCGGCAGATGGGCTCGGCTGTTGTGTCTGTTGTTGCTTGTGTGTTGCTCAGCTGTTACCAGGTCACAGCATCTCCTTCACTGGATCTGGTTTCACTGTGGAAATTTCACCTCCTCTGTCCTGGACCGAGCTGGGAGTGTTGAGTTCGTTGGTCGGTTGCAAGGCGGCGTGAAAGCTGCAGCCGTTCCAGCTGTTCCAGCTCTCTGTGGCGGCGCAGCTGAACGGAGAAAGCAGAACAGAGTCTCTATTTATAGCGGCTACAGTTTTCAGATAGGGGGGAATTAAATTTTCATTAAAAAAGAGAGCGCTGAGCTAGAATTTCAGCCTGGTCTCTGTCTCTCCACTGCTTAGCAATTTGCAGAACAGCTGAGATCGCCACACAGTGTTCGTTACACCTCTACCTTTCGTTCGAATCTGACCTCTGGGACTACTGCCAGCTTTATCGCTTCCCTACTCCTCCTTTCTCTCTGCCTACCTCTATCACCTTCTTTTTCTCATCTACCTTTTTTCTGCATCAGCACTTTAGCATCGGTTGCTCAGCGCTGACTGGAGGCCCAGACAGAGCTGTTGCACAACGGCTGCATCATGCCGTCTGCTTCTTGAAAGTGGATTTAATTATTAGGGGAATGATGCTCCCATCAAAAGAGATTAATGTGGGTCAAACCTTTTAAAATGCTAGGAAGTCGTTTTACTACTGTGACGTACAGCTTCACAATGCTCGGCTTAGTTGGACTTAGCCCAAGGAAAGCATGTATTTCAGTGCCAGGCTGCAAAAATAAAAGGCTATGACGCCTTGCAAAAGTGTACGTAAATTTGAAACCAGATGTTTACATACGCCATTTAAAAAAAAAAAAACACATGACCTTTTTATTCTCACTGTGACACTTTGACCCAAAATCAGACAAAATTTTTCCTTTTTTATTTCAGTTAGAATTAGGCCTGTCATGAAAACAACTTTTCCTGGACTAGAAGTTATACCGATAAACAATAATATTTTTGTTTTCAGACCGTTTTAATATAATATAAATATATAAAGGCAACCGCATAATGATGCAAGAACACACTGTGAAAAATCAACAAATTTAAAATTCTAATGAACATTTAACCCTGAAACTGGAAGACATTTTAAATATACTAAATAAATAAACAAAACAACAAATAAAATGAATTATGAAGTCTGTGTAGTCTGAGTTTTTCATTTATTATGTGATGATTGATTTATTTCTTACTGTGACAGGCAGAGTTATAATTACTAAAATCAAACAGTATGAAATTAACTTGTAATACATAAAGAAAATATACATAATTTAAGAAAAAAAGTATGACTGAAAACTATTGGTTTAAATAAAAAATGCACAGCAAAGAACAAAGATGAATTGCTACACTAAAACATTAAAATAAAAATAAACATTTGCCTGTCACATATCTTCTTACTACTTTGTTAGCCTTTAAGGAGACACTAACTTACTTGACTTTGCAATCATTTGCAGTCATTAGTTGATTTATTGTTTATTTTTGATTATGGCAGGATTGGTCTTTCGTACTTTTCTGTTTTTTTTTTTTTTTTTTTTGATAAACGTGTGAAAGCCAGTGTATCATTTTCCTCCCACTTCACAAATATGCTTTACTTTATGTCTATCAATGACATCATATTCTGACATGAAAAAGTAAAAAAAAAAAAAAAAAGTCTCCAGTCTTACAAAAAAAGAAAGAAAAAAAAAGATATTTGGGTTTTGTTTGCAGCTAAAAAGCTCACCATCTTTTTTTAAAAGAAAAAAAGTCTGCTTTCATTCGTTTATACACTGTTGATTTTCTTCGACCCTGTTGCTTTTTTAAACTTTCTAATATTTTGTTGAGTGTGACATTCTGCAGCTATTTGCTGTGTGCTCACCCATGTGCTGGATACACAAAGGAAGGACAACCAGAAATCAGGTCGTCTGTACGGATAATTCAAAGCGTCCACCATGGCCTCTCACTCAGCGCTGGCCGCCTTGTTTCATCCCACCGCCCAGTGAAGAAAGATTCTTGCCACATGCGCCCTCTGGGGAGACATTGTTGGGTTAATTGCGTTTCCAAAAGCAACGCCACAAGTCAGAAACGAGGCTACACATTTTCAGAGCATTCAAGACGAAGCATCTAGAGTTAACGTGAAATGTCCCATCGCTGCGCTGTGAGAGTTTTACATTCCAGTGTCAAAGCGAAGAGCTCCTATTCTTGCGTTTAGTCACCGTTTTCTCAAATCTGTGTTTCGGTCTGTTCTCTGTCTGTCAGTGTGTTGTAATGACGTAAGCTCCTAAAAGTGTGTGATGATAAGCCTTGTTGGATTGATGGAGAGCAGCTTTGATGACTTATAAAGATAGGAATGTGCAGCTCCTTGTAAATCGAAAAAGACAGCACTGATTTATTAATTCTCTTCTTTTTGTATCTCCTCTTGACAGTGTTTTTCTCCCGCTTCACGCATGCTTCTTGTTTTGTCTTTGTTTTTTTACGATTGCAGACTTACTCTGGTCTTTTCTGCGTGGTCATCAACCCCTACAAGAACCTGCCCATCTACTCAGAGAACATCATAGAGATGTACAGAGGAAAGAAGAGACATGAAATGCCTCCACACATTTATGCCATCTCCGAGTCAGCGTACCGCTGCATGCTCCAAGGTAAAATAAACCCCTCATGCATCATCATCGTATGCTGTGTTATAAGTGTAACGAGTGTCATCTTTTAGCGTTTAAAGCTTTTAATTTGCTCATTGAGAAGCAGAGATCAGAGAACAGTTTTTACAGTGCGTTAATGTATAAAACTAGCGAAGCCTGGTGGGCAGTCGTCCGGCAATTTTCCAGATTTTCAAGTCAAAACAGTGTTTAAAGTTGACAGGAAATATGAAACTATCTCTCGGTAATTATGTCCTATTGGAGGACATTGTCAACAATACATAAACACCAACTATAAATACTTAAAAGCCCCTAAAATAAATAAAACAAACAAAGCCTAGCCTGATAGGGCGCAAGTAAAGCCTGGTGGCCCGCCAGGCCTGTAGTACACTGATTTTCAGTAAAAACAAGAGGTTAAGTATAGGTAAAACCAGTAAATTGATGCCCTTCTGTTTATTATAAGCTACATTTGTGTTTTATTTCTCCTGGTCTGAACTTTAGGTCACTTGCAGCAAACATGAGGTTCAGTTTCACGGCACAAATGACTGTAAAGTGGGTGAAAGTCTCGGGGTCATTGAGGATGTCAGGCAGAATGGAGGGTTGTGACTGAAACGAATGCTTGTGTTATGCAGATTTACACAGTGTATGCAGAGTCTTACACCATAAGACCAGTGCAGATGGTGATTTATTCATGCTCAGCTATGTGCAAAATCTCTTCCCAATTCCTTGCCTCAGTCCTCCCTGACAGTTCATGTTCCCATTTCCCTCATAAATTTAACTCAGTATGGTTAGGGAAAATCCCACACAGTGCACTGTAAAGTAAATCAGCTCTGCTGTTTGTTAAAACATGATTTTCTCAATAATTGATACATTATGATGCATAAGAATACATTTGTTTTGCAACCTGCTACTTTTGTTTGAGAGAGGAGTCACCATAGAAAGTGGTTTTACTAACTTCAAGTTGTCATTTTAAAGTGTCGTCATGCTGCTGATAAGAATGAATTGTGTGTTTAGCATTTCAAATTAGCATCAATCTCTGTATGAAGATTGTAGACTGCTACTTTAACTCATAAATGTCAAATAGACAGAAAAACATTTACAAATCTAACATATTCCATGACAGACACAGGCTGAACGCTAAAAGGATGATACAGCGCGACTCTCCTGTAATTTCGTTTAGCCTTCCTGGACGCTGCTGAAATCTTTGCACCTTTACAAGTTTGACAAAATGTCTCCAGGATTTAATGAATGAATGTCCTGTGCAGATGGCTTCCTCTCCGAAATGGAAACGTAACAAAATGATTTGAACCCATGGAAGCGTAGCTCTCCGTTGTAGCAACCTTAGTTAATCTTCTTCACTCAGTACTCACATCCACACCGAAGAGTGTGTATGTTGTGTTGCCTGGTATTGCATTGGTATGATGTGTTCATTGACCCATCATCAAAGAGGAATTTCTTGTTGCATCTCCCACAGATCTGAGGCAAATATCTGCTTGTTTGTCAGACACATTGTTGTGAAGGAATCTGGAAATAATTCCACCGTAAGCGCCAAACAGATGCAGGACAGTGAGCCAGGCTTGTTCGGAGAATTTGGGACGTGTCGGCGGTGCCACCATTCATTTCCCCTGACCTCTAATTCCCAGCTCATTCTTTCGGAGCGCTCGTAACGGGCAAAGCTGCCTGTGGAATGAGGTCACCGCCGATCCTGCTTCCCGTACCGTGCTGTGCTAAATTCTGCAAGCTGAGTCATTGTCAAAGTTGACATAGCTGTCTGAACTGCCCATCAGCCTCAGCTGGACCCCTGTTGGAGGGGAGACCGTGTTTGCCATGGACACATCAGAGTGTGTTTGTGGGTTAGACCCGAGTAACGCTGCATCTCTGTGAGAAACTGGACTTTAAATGGTTGCAACAAGGTGCTTTGGATGTGAATATGAACTCTATTATTCTACTGTTCTATATTTGCTTTCTCTTTTTTTTTAACCATTTTTTTCATCCACGTTTTAAATTTCAGTCATTTTTTTTTTCTTCTTTTTCTTTTTTCACCTTTTTCCGAGCCAGAATGTTCTGGCTCGGAAGAAATAAGGAGGAAAGAAAAAAACTCCCCACATCCTGCCAGACATTTTAGTTGCCTTTCACTAAACATGAAAAATCCAAACCACAGCTCTGCTGCAGTTCTGCCTCCTTTGTCCCGCTCTTCTTTGGTCTTTAATTAGGAAACATAAGGGAACAAGTGTGAGGAATGTCCACCTTCTTATCGATGCTCAGTGTGAGGTTATAGCCAGCGTTGCCATGGTTAGCCTTTTCTTTTTGACTGCTTAACCCAGTTTGAGATTTCCCCTTTTTTTCACCTTCTAGCTTGTCACTTACAACTGTTTTTACATCTTACTTTACTTACAGCCTGTTTGTTGCTGCTGCAATACGAGGCCCTTACAGAACTGCTGTAGTCATTATTTTATGGGAAAAGGATCAAGAGTAAGTCAGCAACACAGATTGGCAGAACGTTTGGAGACGACTCCATAAAAAGAGACGGAGAGCTGAACTTCTTTTTATTTTGAGAGTTTTAGTTTGCAGCTAAATGTTTGTGAAAGTTGTGAAAAGTTCTGTCTGGGAATTTGTCATGCTCAAAATACTGGCCACCATTGTGGCGCCACCAGTTTTTGATTAGCATATAAATATACTATTCATATTTGTTTTTCTATTATGCAGACATGCAAAGCTTAGTACTTGTATCATTAAAAAGCAACGTGTTGTCTGTAAAAAGATTAAGCGAATCTTTAGTTTGAACACACACACACACACACTCATAGTGTGTAGCAATATAAATTCAAATCAAAAAACTATATATTAGCCATTTGTGATTCAGAACAGGAAAGGGGGTTTGTGCAACTACGTCACAAGATGGCATTAAAGTTTTGTTTCTCTCTGCTGAGTGGACAAAAACTGCTCAACCAAGTTCAGTGCTTGTAAATTAAACTCTGATTCTTAAATATTAATAAAGGGGTGATGTGTAGTTTTTTTTAAAAGTCTTGATTTATGTTTGACAGCTAGTCCAATACTTGTAATAGCTTTTCAAAAGTGGATAGATAAGACAGCAAAGAGGCAGAAAATGGTCAAGAAATGCAAGAGGATTGACACAGCAAAACTCAAGACATTCACAGATGTCAATGGGTTTGCTGTAGAAAATCCAGACTGATAAGTTACGGATTGAAATAATTTGAGGCCAAAAGCAAAAAAACTGTGATTTAGGGAGCTGGCTAAGAGCATACAGAGAGTGAAAGAGTTTACGGGGAAGAGAGAAGAGGGTACAGGGGAGAAGCAGAGGGGGTGGCCGGTATTGTGCCTTACAATGGGGCCTTTGTGCGGTCCGAAGGGGGCTGGGATCACGGTGCTGTGTGCAGGGGTGCAAACCCGGAGGCCTGGAGCTCCAGAGTTCTTCCCTGGGAAATGGGGCCTTTTGTATGAAGCAGCATGAGCTGCAGAGCAGGGTCTGCGTGACGAGACAGGTGTCTGTTTGGGACTTTTCCCCTGACCCCCGCTAAATCTTCCAGAGGAATGAAGACGTGTCCAAAAAATATGTCTTCATTGATGTACTTAAAAGTTTGCATCACTTCAAGAATCGTGGAAGAAAAAGGTAAAATGAAACACATGGGCAGTTGGATTTTATTGTTTCTTTGAAAAGAGGTGAGTGAGAAAAAAGGTAAAACAGACAAAGCCATTCTTTAAAGAAGGTTGTTAGAAGTTTACAGTTTGTCACAAGCCATATAGGGAAGAGGTTTTTCAAATAGTTTGGTTTGTTTGACACATTGCAATGTGAATGTGAACCACACCAGCTGAAAATGTTACAATTTTGGTCCCCAATTGAAGTGAGTCTGTCAGACTATTAGGTGTGAATACAGCCTTAGTTGAATCATGTAGAAATATATTTTCTTATTTCCACATTAGCTTATCTAACCCAGTTTCACACAGAGAAGTCATAAAAAGCAGGTGTCTAACATTTTATCACTCTCATAATAATTCGTGACACAGTGAACTCCATGCAGCTCTTCCCTGATGCCCCTGTGTTTTTGTAATTCCTGCCAGGCATCAGAGATTAGCATCCTGATATTGGACTTGCCACAAAAACACCCAGGAAAACGACCTCGTCCTCTTGGACACAGAGGACATCACAAAGAGCCACTGTGAACCAAGCAAGCCACCGGACGGCTGCCATCTGCAATCGATTAGATCGCCAAATGGTTTTTACCATATCTCCCAGAGCAGCTTTTTCTCCCCTTTCATTGGCCTAAAGGCAACACCCAACAGCATGAGGCTTTTTTTCGCTCCCCCTGTTGACATGCTACTTTGCTTTATAATTAAAGCTATGCACATAGAAAGGTCTGTCGTTAAGCTGCTGCTCATCCATCTATTGTATTCAGGAGAAAAACATTGATTAGAGAAGGAGTTCTAATGCAGCAATGAAATATACTGTTTGTTTTTATTATAGTGCCAGGGACAGTTAATCCGTTCTGATCTAGACAAGCAAGAGAAGTACATGGATGCAATGGGACATTTAGAGAGGCTGCATTTGATGTAGTAGGACTTACTGTAAAGGTTTACTGACTTTTAGAAAACCTTAGTGTGCCTTTAAATCGTTCATATGATTTAAGACAAAGTGGCATCCAGGTACTGATGACGTGACTTCAGTGTCGTCAGAGAACTACAAAACCTAACTGGGGCTTCTCAGAGTGAACAGGCCTCTGCCAGGATGCTGAATATGAAAAATTTATGGAAGACATGAAGACTGGAAATGTGTCGTTTGTTGACTTTTGCCGCACGTCGTCCCCCTTCTCTTGTTATCCACTTTCCTGTCAATTCACCATCAATTTCAGGCCAATAAAACCTTTTAAAAAGACAAAGCTATGTAAAGACCGGCTACTCTCATGTCCCTTTCAGACTGTAAATACGTGACTCCACCCGCTAATAGTCTGTAACAAGAACTGAATGAGACAGATGTTGAGAAAATGGAG